CCGACCGGCGCTGCCCGCCGCAAGCCTCACTGGAGAAGGTGAGCATTGAACGTCCTGGGTCAACCTGCCTCAGTTTCCCCAGGGATTGCCGCCGCCACCACCCTTGCCAGGGTGTCCGCGGAGGCAAGGGGATGGAAGGGCCAGATGCGGTGTGGTTTCCCCGCCAAAGCCGGTCACCGGGAGCCACCTTGGTGAGGGGTGGTGACGGGCTGTGCTTGGCCATTGCAGGGGTGTGCCGGCCATGCAACGACACCGAGATCCTGATGGCCATTTGCACTAGTGACTTTGGTGAGTGCAGCCCCCACCCTGTGTGCTGGGGGCGGGGTCCTGGGGCCCAGGAGGAGGGAAAGAAACTCAAACTGGTGGGGCAATAGCCCTCAGGCAGCCCTGGTCTCCCCTTCCCGGGCTGGCCTGGCTTGGGTAGCGGCCATCAGTGTCATAGAGGCTGCTGTAGGATGGGGATGGGGACAGGGATGGGAATGGGGATGGGAATGGAGCTGGGGATAGGAATGGGGATGAGGATGGGAATGGGGATGGGAATGGAGTTGGGGATGGAGATGGGGACAGGACACGCTGCCTCCCCTCCCTGCCTTCCCCCCACAGTGATCCGTGGCAGCATCCAGAGCATCTCCAATGACGCAGAGCTGCAAGAATCCGTCATCGGGGTGAGTGCCACCCGCATCCACCGCCAAAAGTTCCCCCTCTTCCAGGTGGGAGGGCAGCTGGGGTGGCCGGCGGGCAACATCCGCACCCCGCTGCGCTGCGGTGTGAAGCTGGGGCCTGGCACCTTCCTCTTCACGGGATGGCTGCATTTTGGCGAAGCCTGGCTGAGCTGCGCGCCTCGCTATAGGGACTTCGAGCGTATCTACGAGGGGGCCCGGCGCATGCGCCAGAACCCCTGCGAGTTCCCTGTGGACTGAGCAGCTTGGGGAGGGCAGCCCGGCCCCACGGGGGGATGCAGGGGCAGCGTGCTGGCAGGGCTGGTGCCTGGAGGGAGCGCAGTGCTTCAGTCCTCGCTGCATAGCTGGGCTTCGGCAGCACCTCCCGCCAGGCTAGGGCCATCCCGGGAAAATCCTGCCGGAAGGGAAGCGATTTTCCCTGGCCGCACTTGCCTGTGGTCCCCAAGGACTTGCCGGGGTGAGGGGTGCAGCTGCGTGGGGTAATGGGCTGAGAGATCCCAGGGGACCAGGGTGCTGCAGGTCTCGGGGTGCTGCATGCTCAGGGGATGCTGTGGGCTCGGGGATGCTGTGGAGCACGGTGGGTCCAGCATGATGTGGCCAGCCATCTGTCCCCACTCCCGGGAGGGCTCGGTGGTGAGTGGCTGTGGCAGTGGGTGGCCATGGTGGCAGGTCCGAGGACATGGTGGATATGGTGGAATGTGGAAGGGCCAGGAGGTGGATTTGCAATGTCAGGGGTGGAAGGAGAAGTGGGGCAGCAACCAGCCTTGCCCTGACCCTGCCTGCAATGCAGAGCACGGGCAGGAGCTGCGAGGCGGATGCTGAGGAAGAGAAGCGAGGCTGAAGGAAGCAAGGGGGATGGTGAGGCGGGAGGAAGGCTGGTGCAGGGAGCAGAGGTGTCTCCGGGGCACAGCTGGGGTAGGACCAAAGTGCCGATGTAGGAAGGTGCCGCGGGAGCGGGGAGAGGTCGGGCCGTGCCATCCACCGCCACCAGCCCAGGGCTGTGGCCTCGCGGTGGCTGCCGGGTCCTGCTGAGCTGGGTCACCGGCAGGGGGGG